CCCAATAGTTTACCCTTCACCCACTCCTTGATTTCTTTTCTCTGTCTTTTGGTCTACGAACTTCCATTTCACCTGTCAACAGTCTAGCTCATTGCTTCATCTTCCCTCTCTTGCCCTCCTCTTCCTATCTGACTAAAAATTCAACATGATGTCAGGGCCTGGCTCCAGAAACTCTAGGGTCCGTGAGGATTTTCAATGCTGTTCTGCATTTCCCCACTCGGTATCAGTTGCTATGATTGAGAGGGCTGCTTGCAAGCGTTTGGAAACTTATAGGAACAGGAGCACAAGACACGTTATAAGGCCTATTGACTGGAACATCCCATGAAACCATGATCCTGAAAACTCCACCCGCAGGAACCAAATCCCCCGAAGTGTTTGGACAAGTTCAGTAGCTACTTTTTTTTGGCCACTGTTGTCGAGAAAGCTACGAGACAATGTTTGCTAATTCAAGATTTTACAGGTGTACTTACTGACAATTACAGGAAGCAGCTGTGAACCCTACCCTTACTATTGTTTCATCACCATTTAACCGTCTTGTACCCTTCTTTTCTATACCTGGAAATCACGAACAAACTTTGGTCTTCATAGAATTGCCTTTTTATACAAGTGGACCGAAAAACCACTGCCATCACGTCGATTCTGACTTACAGAGACCCTATGAAGGGGTTCCAAGCCTGTACATCTTGAGGGGAACAGGTAGCCTCATCTTTCTCCCCAAAGAGAGGCTGGTGGATTTGAACCTTTGACCTTGAAATAAGCAGTCAAATGCACACTGGATGGTGCCACCACAGCAATGACATTGTAGAGCCTTGGGTCTGCTTTGCATCTTTCTTTTAAAATTTATTTTTTTTTTAAATTAAAAAAAATAAAATTTATTTTAACATTATTAATTAGGAGTTGATACATATATCATTCCATAGCTCAATTGCGTCAAGCAGTATCGTACAATTGCCACTGCAATCAGTTTCCAAACTGCATCTTTCTGATAGCTAATGATGATGTGCCTCTTTTCATGTTTAGTGGTCATTTGAATATCCTCTTTGGTAAAATGTCTATTCAAGTTCTTTGTTCATTTTATAACTGGGTTATTCGTCTTTTTGTTGTCAAGTTGTTGAAGTTTTAGATATATTTTGGTTATTAGTTTCTTGACAGATATATGGTTTCTGAAGCTCTTCTCCCAGTAGGTAGCTTGTCTTCTCAGTTTTTCAGGAAAGTCTTTTTGATGAACAAGTGTTTAATTTTTCTGAGGGCAGCTGCTGCTCTTTATCAACTGGGACAGAAGATTTGTACTGTTTCAACCGTGCGCACAATCATGTCAGGGCTTGTTGGCTAAGGGCCAGCCTTGCTTGGAGTGGCGTCTGTCTGCCTCTCCTGTCTTTCAGTGTTTCTGGTTTAACTTAAACACCAGATGAGGGGGAGAGCAGAGATAAAGTATAACTCGCTGCTGCAGGTATTGGGGCTAGACATGAGAAAGGACTTTCCCTAGGATTGAAAGCCACTAAGAGCTAGGAGGAAGCAAGCCTCACCTTCACGCCTAGTCTCCGGAGAGAACTCTGGCCCGGGGCTTGCTTGGCTTCTATGACTCGAGGCAAAGGGATGATTGAGTGACAGCTGCTGTGTGTACCTGGGCGTCACCTGATGTCCTAGCACTTGTCCTAGGCAACCCCGGAGGTGTGTGACTACCATCTGAGGGGGTGCCTTTTCCTGCAAGAGAGGGGACCAGAGGGCACCTGGGGCCCCTTTAAGGGAGATGAACATTCTCCCTCCTGGGTGCCTCTCCACCCAACTCCCCTCACTCACTGACTAAGAACCTGGCCAAGAAAGAGGCCTTTGTCCTAGGACATCAGAGGCTGGGGGGAGGGGAGAAGGCTACAGGTGAAAGGAAACATCAAAGCCACAGCTGCCTCCGCCCCCACCCCCTCCCATAACTCCCTTACCCTTTCTCCAGAGCCTACAGAAGCTCCTTAAATGTAGCCTGCTCCCGACGCACCCATCTTCCTGAACAGCTGGGAAGCTAGACACCCAGTTTTCTTCTTATCGCCAGCTGCACACCCCTGTGCTATGACTCAGTTTCCCTGTCTCCAAGAGAGCCAAGGAGGCAGTGGGAAGGAGGCTACCACCCGTATAAAGTTTAGAGGTTACTTTTGAATGGACCATCCGGCTGGGACTCGGAACATGCCCGGAAGACACAGGGACCTGGTCAGAGTCAAAGGCTCAAAGGGAAGGCTCCTAGAGGCTGGGAGCCATGTGTGCCCCCCGCTGGCCAGGAGCAAGGTGGGGGCGGGAGTGTGGGCAGAAAACCACACTGGGCTCAAGTTTCCTCTCTTGGCCAGAAGGGGCAGGAGGAGAGGAGGGCCACGGGAAAGGGGAGGGTTGGAGGAAGCACCCAAGGACTCAGGCCCAGGGCTTCAGAGCAGAGGCTGGTGCGCCTGCCCCGGCTCCTCTGGCCCAGTCTCAGGCTCTGCCCCGCACCGCACTCGGCACTCAGACATGGCCTGGGGGCGGGGCATGGCCCTGCCGGGTTCTTAGAGGTAGTGAGGAATCCTCACCCAGGAGGTGTCAGCCCAGGCCCAGCCTCCTCGGAGACAACACCCGGAGCCTCATCTCCCTTGGACTGTGCCACAGGTGCTAAGGGCTGGGTTGGGAGGGGGGGATTCCAGTGAGATCTGGGGAGGGCGGTGGAAAGGCGATGGAGGGAGGACAGAACCACCTTTCGGTACATTTCCAGATCTCGGGCTTTCCCAGGCTGCCCTTGGTTTAGAAATTTGACATGTTTGGGAACTCCTCTGGGAGTAGACCTTGATGATGGTTTCTTGAATGGGAAGATCCTGCGGGGTGGGAGGGTGTAGGCAGGGACCAAACAGGAGTTCCCTGAGGAAGCTTTGAGGGGCTGAAGAATGGCCCAGATGGACCCTTGAACAGGCTGCCTGCTGGGGAGTCGCTGCTAGATCACCCCCGGCGTATGGCACCCTCCACCCCTCCACTCCATGCCATGACCCTGCCCTGTTGGGCCCACTGGGGAGGGTCTGGGGATGCTGAGGAACCGGGGACCCTGGATGCCTGGATGGCTCAGTGTTCTCCGGAGCACAATGAGGAGGTGAGCTGGTGAGGCTGCTGAGTTCTGACCTTTGCCCATCTCTTCTCTGGACCCAGGGGCAGTCTGGATCAGCTAGACTCGGCAGGGAGAGGATGTTCAACCTCCAGGGTGGTTCCTTCCCAACTGGGACTTCCGGCAGCTTGAGGTGTAAGGGGCTGGGAAGCATTGGAAGGGAAGGCTGGGATGATCTAGCCATTAGTCCCCAAAGGCCCGAAGTTCCCTTTATACTGATCTGAGTAAGACATGCCCCCTGGGAGTTGGAATCTTGCTCTGATCAAATCTCTCTTCTCCGGTAGGTAGGTAGGTAGGTAGGTAGGTAGGTAGGTAGGTAGGTAGGTAGGTAGGCCTTCCCTTCTGCTTTTCTAGAGCGTCTCTCTGTACCGCTACCTCTCGGGTTCGCCTTTATCTCCCTAAAGAGGTTGCTCACCCGCCATCTCATACCTCAGGTTTCCTGACCCCTCCATATCCCTCCATATCCTTTCACTCCCTCGCTTAACACCAGGAGAGGTTGTCTGAGGAGCTTCAGAGCACAGACCCAGAGGCAGCTTGCTTTCTACCACTCCCCCGACACCCAAGCAAGTTAAAGCCCTTGGGCAGCAGTTGAGGCCTAAAACCTTCATCTCTGTAGCATCTTTCTGGAAATGATCCTCACACTCTCTGTGCAAGCAGGAAGCTCCGATGATACCCTTCTATGAGCACTCATGCATTGAGATCAAATATTTCTGGGTAGGACTTTCAGGAGGTGAGGGGAAAGGATGGATGTTAGTTCCTGGAGATTGCCCCAGCCCTACCTGATCCAGGTTGTTCAAGACTAAGAGAAGGACAATGTCAATTCAGGGGTAGTAAGATGTTGTGTGACCTCAAAATGCAGGTCCACCTGGAAAGCTGGAGCTGTTTGTTGGAAAAGAAAAGAGAAGGGAAGATTTCTGTCTGATTAGCTACTCCCAGGCTCTTTCCCCTTATCTCCCTACTTCCAGCATCTTCTCTGATGTTGTTTGATTCTAACCCTGACTTTACCCTTCTTGCCGATCTAACCCACTGGCTGTGAGCCCCCTAGCGTCTAAGAGGTAGGCTCCTAAGACCCAGAAGGAACCTATGCCTGGTGTATAGACCACCACCCATCCTGAGCATCTACGGAAATATAAACTGTTTCCCCTTAAGCCTGGGGCAAACTGACTACTGCAACAGAAAGCCGGTTGGAGCTGTTCTGAGGTTGTCCTCAACACCCTCTCCTCTACCTTTTGCCTCACCCTACTGGGCTACCCACTGAGCTGCTACCCACAAAACCGGCAGTTCAAATCCACCAGCAGCAACTCAGGAGAAAGATGAGGTTGCCTACTCTTAAAGATGAAAAGTCTCAGAAACCAAAGGGTTGGTTCTACCCAGTCCTATAGGGTCCCTGTGAGTCAGCTTTGACTTAATAGCAGTGAGCTTTTTGAGCCTCCCCTGATCAGTTCTCAGGTCTCTGTTATGGGGAGAGGGGGATTTGATGAGAAGAGAGTGGTATTTAGATCAGAACAGCCCAGAGGCCAGCCTTGCCTGGCTCATAGGTTGAAAGCTAGGAGAATCCTGGTGATTTGTTTATAGGTCTACTTTTTGGGGTGGTGGTCTTTTCAGTGAATTCGTACATTTGGACCTCTTTTAGTGTTTCCCAAGGTATTACAATGCTGATTCCTGTTCCAAGCCCCTGTGGATTTGATTCAGTGGGTCTCAGGCAGACGCTAGGAATCTTGAGTTTTTAGAAGTACTACAGGAAGAATGTGACATCCATCCCTTCAAGTTCATGACTCCCTGGACTATATCCTACACCCAGAGGTTCTCTAGTCCCGTCTCCAGTGAATGGAAGAGACAGACAGATCGTAGAGGCTCCAAGAATATGAGACAGTGTGCCCAACCGCACGCATCTGGCTGGAGGGCCAGAGAACCTGGTGCCCTGCCTCCTAGGGCAGGATCTTGGTACTGCACCTTGGAGTCAGCTCCAGGGAGACAGGAGGGACAAAGGGGGAAGGTGCGGGACTATGAGGCAAGAGTCATTGTCCCTGCCCCCTCACTCTGTTCTCCATTCACTTTGCCTTTGGGCAATTTCCTCCAGAACCTGGGTGGGGAGGGTGGGGTTCCGGTGTTGAAATGGCATCCTGGACAGACATAAACACCCCACCCACTCTGCTCAGTGGCCAAGGTTCTATGCCTACACCAACTCCCAGTCAGGGGATGGCCATAGATCAAGGGGGTGTGGCTAAGGGAGATCCTCTTTCAAAAGAATCACTTGTAGTTCTCAATCATTTTACGGTAAATCAAGGATTGAATTCCATATTGAATAGCTGTGATGGGTCATCCTTGTAGTGGTCTAAAGTCATACAATTTGAGATCATCCAGTCCTATCCTCCATAAGCGTTGGGCCACCAACTGCACAGTCAGTGGTTCAAATCCATCAGCAAGAAAAAGGTGAGCCTATGCACTTCTGCAAAGATTTACAATCTCAGAAAGCCTACATAGGTGGCTAAGAGTTGGAATGGATGCAGTGGCAGTGGTTAGCCACATCAACATCCTTCTATAAACTCCCCCTCCTCCCAGCCAGCTTGTCTTTGCTCATAATGGGCCTAGGTGCAACTGGTGCGGGCGGACACTCACCTTAAGATTTCAGGAGGCCCCCTCCAAGATTCCTGGGAATTGCTTGCTCAAGGTAGGAAGAAGAGAATTAGGGAGAGAAAGGTGCCAAGCATGGGGAGGTAGAATAAGGAGAGGCGCTGACAAAGAGGAGAAAGTAGAGGCAAGGGTGAGAAGTTGCTGAGAACTCCAAATTGCCCAAGTAGAAAAAGACCTTGGAGTTCAACTTGTCCCAACTCCCTCATCTTACAAACGAAGAGCCCCGGGTCCTGGGAATAGAGATGACTTGCCCAACAGCACATTGCTGCTTTGTGGCAGAGCTGCAGCTAGAGAGCTGAGATTACCAGAAAAGAGTCTGGGGGGGAGTGGGGGATAGAAAAAGAGCCTGGAGTGCAGGGGTGGGTGGGAGTGGGGGATATATTTAGTGCTCTAAAGAGCTATTCCCTGGAGCGAAAAGAACTGATTGGACAGGTGGGACATGATCTGACAGTCGTTCTAGAAGGCTGTGTAAGAGGATAGAGCCAGCCAGTGCTGGTTTCTGACCTGACCTGTCATGTACCAGTGTGGGTCTCAGTTCCTAAATGGAAACCCAGCTTTGTGACAACCCACCTCGTAAGTGAATACCTGACAAACCAGTGAAGTTCTGGACAGGTGCTCACGACGTCTCTGCTATCGTTGTTGACCACTGAAGGTGTAGTGGTTGTGGGTTCGGCTGCTAAGCTCAAGGTCAACAACTGGAAACTACCAGCCACTCTGGGGCGAAAAGATGAAGTTTTCTTTTTCTCCTGATGAGCTAGTCTCTGAAACCCACAGGGGCAGTTGCCCCCGTATGATAGGGTCACTATGAGTTGGAATTGGCTTGATGGTTGTTACCTCAGAAAAGGAAAAAGACACCTGGCTATGTGGGTTGAGGAGTGGCCACGCAGACCCTGTGGAGACCAGGCAGAGGTCCCGTGTCACCAGAACCCATTCCTCCTGTGCTGCAGGCAGCTGATAAACCCCTTATCTGGCCCAGGCAGGGAAGCCGAGGACCAGGATAGGAGAAGAGGGCAGGGCTGCTATCAGCCACCAGGCCAGGACCCTATCTTAGGGAGGGGGAGGGGTTGGCTACTTGGTTCTTCCCACAACACCCTCCTTGGGGATCTCCAGGCACTCACTTTCCTCTTGGGAAGAAGAGGGTGAACAAGAGCAAAACGGGGGTTTCCTTGGTGTTGTTCCAGAGAAAAGAATAAAAACAAAAAACCAGAACTTCTGCTTCTGCCCAGTTCTGGGGAATAAGAAGTAGGGGAAAATAAGGCATTTTGTCTTAGAAAGAAAAAAACAAACAAACCCCCAACAAAAACCCAGCCAAGACCTACTGTGTTCCCAAAGGAACTGCCTGCAGCCTGGGCGGATAAGATAGCTAAGGGAGCCGGTGGTTGGGTGGGTCAGTGCAGAAGGCAGGCATGACTGGGGGGCAGGCCTCTGCTCCCCTCAGGTGCAGCTGGAAGGGACTGCACTATGGAGGCAGGCCAAAGGGGCTGACCTTTAGCAGCTGAGACCTTAACCTTCCTTTCTCCTTTGCCACAGGTTGCTGGGGGGGCCGTCTCTGGGGGAACCTGAACTAGGCCTTGGCCCAGTAGGATGTCCCCGTGTCCTCCCCAGCAGGGCAGGAACAGGGTGACACAATTGCTGACTCCAGAGCTGGGTGAGATGGAACTGACGTGGCAAGAGATCATGTCCATCACTGAGCTGCAGGTGAGTGGGGGAGGGGAGCAGTGCATGAAAGAAGCCCAGAGAGCAGAGGCTCGGAGACTGGAAGGGGCAGGGCTCAGGGTCTCAAGCTGCAAATGTAGCAGGCACTGGAGGAGGGAGGGCTGGAGTGTGTTGGAGATCTAATGGGAGACTGGGATGGCAAGCAGTAGGTAGGAGAGGGGAAGAGGGAAGGATCTGATTGGATGCAGGCTCTCTCAGGCGCAGCTCCGAGGAACTCCATCTCTCTACCCCACCTTCCCATCCCCCCTTCTCTTTTGGCCTCTCTTTGCTCCTTCCCTTACCATCTTCGTCCCTCTTTTCTCTTCCGTGCCCTTTGCAGCTGGGCCCCTTTCCCTCAGGTAACAGAGCAGTAGTTCAGGGGCCTCAGGAAGGGGAGTCCGACTATGCCATCCTCTCCTCCTGCTAGCTGGACAAAGGGGTGTCTGTTAGCTGAACAATGGTGTCTTTGTCCCAAGCTGGGCCAGGGCAGGGTGGCTCCCCTGACACAGGTTGGGGGCCCTGTTTCCATGTTCTCTCCTCTTTGCTGCACCTGGGAAGAGACAGGCTGAAGAGAGAGCAGAGCTTAGGCTGGCTCACAGGAGCTTCATAACTCTCAGCCCTGGCTCCACCCCGCCCCTGCCTCTGCCCCTTCTCCCACCCCTGCGGGCATCCTCAGGATTGCCCCAGGCTTTCCTCCCACACAGCAGCTCCCTCTGCTGGGCACCCGCGGTTTAAACTTGACCCTTTGACCCAGATAACTGCAGTAGGAAAGAGTGAGTCCTGCCAGGTAAAGGTGGAGAACAGCGATGTTCCTAATTGTTTCAATGTTACGGAGTCCTTTCTGAAATCTGACCCCAGGGATTTCCATCCTTGCTTAGGAGCCTTTCTTCTGGGAACAGA